GGAGGCTCATGCCTGTAATCCTAGCACTCTGGGAGGCCAAGGCAGGAGCATCACTTGAGCTCAGGAGTTGGAGATCAACCTGAGCAAGAGCGAGACCCTGACTATACTAAAAAAAAATAGAAATTATCTGGACAACAGAAATATATATATATATACACACATATATATATATACACATATATATATATATACATATATTAGCTGAGTACAGTGTGGCATGCCTGTAGTTCCAGCTATTCGGGAGGCTGAGGCAAAAGGATAGCTTGAGCCTAGGAGTTGGAGTTGCTGTGAGCTAGGCTGATGCTATGGCACTCTAGCCCACGCAAAACAGTGACACTCTGTCTCAAAAAAAACAAAAACAAAAACTGTTTCAGTAAAGTCAATAAGAAAAAATAGAAAATCAAAATGATATTTAAAAAATAAGAAATTATAAAGAGAATAAGCATATTTGTTAACAAATGAAGTAGGAATTAAACAACAAAAATAAATTAATTAAAAGTACTATATTTGGTTTAAAAATTAAATTAGAAGTGCTCAGAACAGGATTAGTGTGATAGAATGACAAGGATGAAAATCATCTAATAACACTAATGAAAATGTGAATTTAATTATACATCTATAAAAATAGAATGAGAAGAGAAAATAATTTAATTGTGCCACTAAAGTACAAAGAACAATGATTACAATAATAAAATAAATGATTTACTAACTTCTCAAATTGAAACCCAGACATATATCCATAAAACTATAATAGCACTGTTTCAAAACAATATAAATAATCCAGTAACAGTCAAACTGCATAACACCAAAGAGAATAAAGAATAAAAATCTGTGAGGCAGGACAAAGAGAAGCAAGAAGGGCGAAAGCAAAATCTGCACAGCTTGTGTAGAGACAGAAAACAGAACTAAACAAAAAGTGCTGAAAGAAATTATTGTTCAACGTGTAACTGGATACTTAGGTAGAATATCTTTTACTTTGCCACCCAGATATAGGGGACTAAAAAAATAATTTTCAGAAAGTAAGAGAAGAAATAAATATAAAGTAAAACATGGAATAGATTGAATATACACGCAGTAAAAGTTCTTAAGTATA